GAAATCAACCTGGGTGCTGTTTTTTTTTTAGTTCCACAAATATAAATGCGACTTGTGAAAAAAAGAAAGATGAAGAATGAGGGAAGATCTGATCAGTCACAAATGTGAATAATTGTTACTGCGTTTTACTGATGCTGTCCAGATAGAGTTTCAGATGTAACCAAATGAATGTGGACTGGATGATTTGAGAGAACACTGATGACTTTCAGTGTTGTAAGTTGTTCAGTGTGGTGTTGACAAAAAAAACACAAAAAACTGCTGAAAACAAGAAGGTTTTCTTCTCTTTGAGGAAGTGAAAGAGAAAACTTCAGTACTTTCTGAAGCAGCCAACACTGCTGCGTACTGTGCTAACAGTAAAGAAAGGGGAAGGAGACAACTGGTGTTGTTTCCTATCAGTATTAGATTACCTGACTTCAAAAGATTCGCCGTGCTGTGCTATCAAGTAAGAAGTGAACATCTGCCCCAGGGATATGTATGTTTTCCTTCTTCAGACCCTATGTGCACAAATCATTTACTGGAAAGAGGCTGCTGCTAGCTCTGAAAGGCCAGATGTTTCCTAGACTGCAAGTGGAATCTGGTGAGCCTGTAGCTAAAAGTGTCTGGCTTACATGGAAAACTGCTCCTGCTAATTTAACAACAGGCAAAATAAAGTTTGTAACTGAATATATGTGGTGAATTGAAATTTGAAAGTTTTAATTAGGTACCCGGGCGGTGTTAGGCATGGTGTGCAAGGCTGGAATAAGCAGAAAGTGTCTAGAGGCAATTTAATGCACCCATAGCCAGAATGTGGCATGGAGCTGAGCATGGTCCTGAGGGATGTGAAGTGCTGATGTATGACTATTATATGATTTTGAAAATTCAGTGTGTACTGAAAGAGACCTGGATGGGTTCCAGTGCTGAGCAAGATACAGCTGCATCATTTCACTGTGTAAGAGAAGCTGACGGCTCCTGGAGACCACATGGCTCCCAGCTCTGGGTTTTGGGTGTGTTGTTCCCTTCCTCCAGACTGTAAACCTCAAGCCTGTCACTATCATACCAGGGATAGCAGCATTAGCTGAGATGCCTTAGATGTCTTAGTAGTAGAGCTGGTCACTGAAGAGACTGCTTGTGCTACAGCCTGCTCACTACTGGAGGCTGAATATCTGTGTTGCATCCCTCATAGCAAGCTGAAGGCATCTGATCTTGTCCTGGGAGCAGGTTCTGATCATCAGCACTGTTTGCAGCAAAAGCAGGAGCAAAGGCTGTGCTGCCATGTACTTCAGCCACAGGCCACAATTGCAGTGTAGATACTTACCACTGCATTAATGCTGAGAGCGTGGTGGCCTTTGCCTCCGGGAGCGTGCAATGGAAGCACTCCACTGTGCTTGCCTCTAAGTTTGTTTTTCTGACAGTCTGTCTCTTCACACTTGTGCAAATATCTCAGTGTATATGTAGTAGTTCACTTGAAGCTGCTCTTCTCCCATTAAAGCCACTGGGATTTAAATTTACTTTCTGGGATTTGTTTTGCTCAGTGTTAAAAGGAGTAACTTGTCACCCATCAGACTTAGCCTGGAGTAGTACTACTCTTGGTAGTGGCAATCCATGAGACAAGCTGAGATATAAAAGCTATAGTAAGAAATGAGTTTTTTTCCCCACTGCGAGCTAAGATGCAAGCTTATTTCTGATTCTAGACTGACAGCATATGGCAGTGATAAAAGTCTTTACTCAAAAATCCTCAGGCCATGGAGTGGGGAAGGACTACTACTGTGCCAAAGAAGGGTTGACATTTCATTATTTCATTCATCTGGTTTCAGTTTCACTCCTGATGCCTGCTGATTTATGGTAATACTGCTGCCACCAAAATGAGCAGAGTTGAATCAAGCTGCTGATTTGGCTGAAAAATAACCTTGAAAGAAAAAATAAAGTTTTTAACTTCTTCCTTGTGTTCATCACCTTTGACATGGGGAAAGTGATAGGAGCAGGTCACAGTGATAGGAAGTCCAGTCCTCTACCTGTTAGAGCCCACTGAAAAGCTATCTTGAGAACCAAGTTTATTGTTCTCTTACATTGAAAGAGGCCATGAGATGCTGCAGCTCACACAGATTTCCATTTTGTAAAACACTGCCAAGAAGTAGGTAGGTGTTTGTTTGCAACTTGCAATAACTTTTTAGAAAATGCTTACCAAGTAAGTTTGAGTGAGGCTTTTTTTATCTTCTCAAAATGGCATTAGATTATCCAAGAAACAGTGGCTATGTACCTGTAGAGACTGTAAAAGTGTGACAACACTAGAACACAAAGCCACATTTGACTAGAAGAGAAGGCTTCGTTTAAGAAATCATAGAATCATTAAGGTTGAAGGAGACCTTCAAGATCATTCTGTAATGTGTATAAGAAAAACTACTTCTTTTTTTTTCACCCAGAAAAATGGGGTCAATTGTTTTGAGTTTGCTATGGATTAGACTATTCCTGTTCCGAGTTGATGTTTCTGTTTGATGATGTTGTATTATTTTGTTAATTTTAATGTGGCTTTTTAAAGGCATACTGGCAATGTTTGGCTTGGAGACATGAAAGGAAAACAGAATTTGTCTGTAATTAAGTGGGTGTTCATTTAAACTTTTTTTTCCTCCAAGAGTAGTGGTTTATTGAGAAATAGTTGTAATTTTTTTATTAGCAGAAGTATTCATTTTTACCTTGCTACACTGCAGACACATGGCTTTCAGATAAGATGTGAAGTCACCTGTGATGGCTGGAGCCTCCTTGCTGTTTTTTTTTGTGGAGCTGTTGCCAAAAGCACCTAGCTGCTTTTCACCCCCCTTCTGCTTGAATGTATCACCCACAGCAGAGCACCCCTGAGCTTTGTTTCTTTGCAGTGCATGCTTCACTGTAGCAAGAATAAGGGCAGATTTGCAGGGCTATCACCCCAAAATCCTTCCTGTTGGTTCTGCCTGGAGGGCATCACTGCAACCAGGCTGCTGGCAGAGTGCTCCTGACAGGCAGTATCTAATTTGCCTCTGCCAAAGTCAAAGGGTGCCGTTTTGCCTGGAGCATAGCAGGACCCTGCACAGGAAGGGCCTCCATGGCCCCTGTTGGGGATGACCAGCTCCTGACAAGGCAGAGAGAGGGAGAAGGTGCCTGTCATTGCTTGCACTCTGGTTTGAGAGAGGACTCCCAGATGTTGCACCTGGGATAGCTTCCACCCTCATTCATTGTGCTGGGGGAGCTAGAATTACTTCTCTGGGTATGGATGAAGAAACTCACCTCAGTTTCTCTAACATAATCAAGGAAGGGGACAATATCTGTGCTGGGAAAAAGAAGAAACTATCTGGCAAGTGTCTACATTTTACAGCATGACATGTGACCTGCCTTTATTTTGTTTATTTTTTTTTTACTCCCAGTGACTTCAGCACAGCTTACTTTGCAAGAGTAGCAAGCACACACGTGTTGTGGAAGGGTGTTTGCTGATGAAAAAATGAAAAGTGATTTTTCTGGAGCTTTGAATCCTGTCTTCCAAAATTCAAGGCATTTTAAAACTTACTTAAAAGCTTTCTCTTAGCTGCCTCTTTTGGTGGTATGCCTGAAATGGCTATTGTGGTTTTTTTGCACTGAGAAAAGTAGGGGAGTTTCAGCCTGCGAGATTTCTCAGACTCACTTCTATCTGCTGTAAAAGCTCTCTCTCTCTCAATTTCTTGACTGCATGCACATATGGGGGGTAGCTTTGTTTCTCTGCAGTGCATGCTTCACTGTAGCAAGAATAAGGGCAGATTTGCAGCACCCGCAATGAGCACATAGTAGCCTGTGGTGTCCCAAGAGCAGATGAAAACTTCACGCTGAGGATTCAGGGAATGCTGATTTGAGGAGGAGAGAGAATAGTTTCCTCCCCAAATGCCCAGTTCAGCTGTAATTGTAAAATGATGGAAGGTGGCAGCTAAACTTTTTCAAATAAATGCACCCTTCAAGCTCACTTGATGTGAGTCTGTTTAAGTCTTGCTTGCAAGTAAAAGATTTATTTTTCCTCTTAGTTCTGTGCTTCTGTGTTGCCTCTGGCAACCAGAGATAAAGCAGTAAAATGAGACTCGTAATCTAGGCAACGTCTGATACAAAAATCTGCTGCAGCTCCATTTCTTAGTTTGTATTGATTTGTCATCCAACTTTGTAGGGTTTGTTAATGAAAATTTACCTGTCTGGCTTGATCTTAGGGAGTAATGTGACTTTAGCAGAAAAGATAGGTAAAATTTTAGATATTTTTAAGATGGGGAGGAGGGAAATGAAGTGTGGGTGTTGTTTTTTTTAAAGAAAGTCTATCTTCCACAGGAAAAGGGAATATTTGAGAGGATAAGTGAAACATAAGCAGTGGCCACGTGGTGCTAAGGTCTCTTTTTTTTAGAAACCTTAAGAATGAGATGATACAATCAATTTAGTACATAGAATTACTGTTAATACATTCATAAGAGCATTATAAATTCTTTAATACACGGTAGTGGTAACTGTTTTTATTAGATAGAACTGTACTGCCCATAAAGGTGTGCAAATGCAGATTTTGTTTGCTGGCATAGCTGGGAAATATATATAAATTATATGTATATATATATTATATATATATAAATTGAAACCTAATTTCTAGTGAAATTAGAGAAGGAATTAATATTTCTTGAGAGGAACACAAGAAAACAAGCATGACACCCTCATATATGTACATATATATATATTTTTTTATTATATAGTAGTTTCAAATGAAACAGTATTAAAGACCAGCTGTAAATTTTCTCTGTGATAGATGAGAGGTAATTACCTTGAAAAAGAAAGAATTAAAGTACTGAAAGCATTTGGAAAGGCTAAAGTACAATATCACTCCAAACATTATCTGATCGTTCAGGCAGAAAAATTTTAACAGTGTGAATGAGTTTCCTTTTTTTTCCTTCTTAATCCAAATTTCTTCCTCCTTCCTCTTTCACACTTGTTTGTCCTGGAAGGTCTTTTTTTTGTGTTCTTGTCCAAAGTCTGACGTGTAGTAATTTATTTCTTCTGAAATATTTTTGAGTTTGAATTCTGGAAAAAAGCTACCTGGCAAGTTATCTTAATTACAAAAATGACCATTAATTATTTTCTTCTTGTATGCACTATACAATATTTAACTGTTACTGCTCCTAACATAGCTTACCTCTGGTGAATTGGATGGCCATTCCTCCTTATGTGACTGAACTCTGGACACATATTAGGGATGCAGGTTTGTGTTTTTTAAAGCAGCATCTCAAAAGTGCATGCTTTTGGATCATTTAAGACAAGTAAGACATTGCAGCAGTGCATGAGTTGATGTTTTAATGTGGATGAAGTAGGCATGAGAAGGGATGGCAGTCAAAAAAAGGTACCTGTTTCCTCTGTCTTGTATAACGTCACACTTCTGTCATGTTATGAAGAAGAAAATGTCCATACAGTCTTGTCCTGACTTGATATGAAACTTCTAATGGAAATTCCTCCTACTACCCATAGCATGGGAGGTGACTGGTGAGCTTGTATGGCTTGTTTGTTGTGGTTTGTTTTTTTGGTTTTTTTTTCCCCCCAGGCCCTTTTTTTGCTGAAATCTTGACAAATATACCAATGGAAAATTTTCTCTCTGGTATTGCAGTGGCACCCAGCACCAAAAGGATCTCAAAAATCACCTTCCATGACGTGAGATTCCAAAGCAAAATAGTTTCTTGAATTCAGCCCCTGATTTTACTTATTTCAGTATTTTCCTGCCTGACAGCTTTTTGAACATAAATTCTCCACCAGAACAATGCGTTCAGAGATGTTTCCTTACTGATAGGATGCATGGTGGTCTTTTCAGTCCCTCAGCCTCAATCTACTTGCAAAAGACTTCTGGAGTCTGATTAGATACTATTTAAGGAGGAACACTTCATTTCTACAGATTTCAGTGATGTCTGATACGAACAAGTAGGACTCTCACATTGCAAGATTTTCTTTGTTCTGGAAAGCAAAGTACATGTACAACTGGAGAATGTCACAGAGCGACATTTTCTTCTTTTTATTCCCTTCAGCAGTACTCCAGTTTAGTATTGTTTCTTGTTGTAGGGAGGATGCAGCAGTGTGCTGCTGTATTAGCTTGGCATGGCTTACATGGTTACCTGCTTGTCTGTCATGAATGAGCCAGCCTGGCATATGATTATAAGAGGCAGGTCTGTCATCCAGAGCAGCAATACAAGGGCATGTGTCTAGTACAGCAGCTTATCAGGAGGCTGTGGTGGTGTCCAAAGCAGTGGTGTAACAGCATTGTCCATTGGGAATGAAAAAATATGTGCCTTGTTCCTCAACTGATGTAAGGTTTAAAGGTACAACTTTGACCTGGTTACTTGTTAAAAGCTGGAGGATGAACATGAGAGAGAGAGGTCTCTGAATATTGTGTGCTACCCTGAATCTTTTCACAGAGGGACAGAAGGCTTTACTTTCTATCCATATGATCTCTGTGGTAGGACTAAACCTTTTAAAATGAGCGCTCCGTTCACTGAGACTCTCAAAGCTTTTTGGAATAACTAAGTTTCTTAGTGCTATTGGGAGATCAAGAAGCTAGGTGTTGTTTTTGTACCTTTCTTATGTCTGGAGAAATGGCAATAGAAAGCTTATTGGATATTTAGATGTTCAGAACTTCAAATAGGCACATAAATGTTTTCATCTCTCTGGTCCATTATAATTAAGTTTATCCAGAAAGACTAGCTCCTGGTACTTCTGCAGCTTGAGACTGCATGCTGAGATGATTCAGCTGCGTAGTATAGAAAAACAAACAAATAACAATGTAGCCTCCTAGAAGGAGAATTTGTAGAAATAGAGAAGAGTTAGGGAGCTGAACTGGCTTACTGTGTGCAGCAAAGGTAGCACTGAGTTACTACTGAGTGCAATGGAAGCAAGTAGGACATTTTGGTAGAATTTGGTCCTTTGATCACCTCCATCATATGACTGAGTGTAGCTTATGTGGCTGCAGGCTTATGTTAAGAAACATTTTATTCTCTTGACCCCCTCCCTGTGATCCAGGACAGATCCTTCCTTCCCACTTCTGGCAAGCATTTCAATTATCTGCTTTGTCCGTTGTGTTCTCATTTCTGGCTGAACAAGAAGGGGTTAATGAATGTACATCACTCACAATGAAACCAAATCTGATGGAGGCCCTGGTGCTAGTATCTGAAAAAAACATATTATTCCATGTTTATTTTAAATCTCAGAGAAAGGTAAATGCATGTCTCTCTCTTTTCTCTTGGCAGAACCAGCTCCTTGCGAAAGGCTTGCTGTTTACAAAGGAGAAGGTTAAATTGTGTGAAGGCAAGTATAGTAAGAAACCCATTTTGGAAAGGCGTTGTGCTTTGATGTTTGGTCAGAAAAAATAAATTGCATGTTTGGAAGGCACACAGCCCTTTCTGGTACTGTGTTAGACTGTCACACAACCTCTTGGAAGCCAGATTGCACTGCAGCCCTCGTGAGGCTTACGGGCTGGTGGGCTGTTTGCATAGCCATGTAAGTGCAACACTCCCACCAGCTACATCTCCATTATGAGAGCAGGAGTGTTGGTTTTGTGTGGCAGTTGAACCTGGGCTCAAAGCAGTTCTGGACTGGACATGGATTCTGTTGTAAAACTACCGAGTGCTGCCTTCTGCCTGTTATATCTCAATGTGATTTGCAGCTTGATGAAAACATGATTTTGGTTAATGTGTCATGTTTTTGAGAGCTAAACTAACAGGCTTTGTGTAAATTTAAAGAAATAACAGTCACTTGGGTGGGAAATAAATGCTTCAGGAAAGAAATTGATCACACAGGAAGTTCTGTCCAAACCACTGGGGTACAGATGCTTGCTGCTGTGGAGCCTACAGATGTAGGTCAGCATGGTGCAGCAACTTTCAGTGTTGCATGTGTAGGGAGTTACTCACATTTATTAACAGTTTGCTCAAGTAGAGCAAGCTGTCTACAGCATGTCTTTATGCAAAACTAGACTGTTGTTTGATTTGACCCAGTTTTGTAGCCTGTTGGGAAGATCCCTTGCTAAGCACCAGCCTGCTGTATCTAGGTCATTATATGCCAATAGATACTTGTAATCTTGTGTCATTGTTGGTGCTGGATTCCTCTGCACCATTCTTCGCCAAGTGACTTTTCTACCTGGCCAGCAGGATTTAGGATTTGGAATCTGAAGGAGCTGTGCAGTTGCCAGCCACCTGCTTGGTGTGTGCTTCTTTGGTACTGATCCTGTAAGGGAGGAAAAAGGCAGACTCATGCTTTTTCACAAATGTGTGTACCTGCCCTGCCCCTGCTAGCTCTTCAGAATGAGTGCTGTGCAGCTTATTAGAGGTTTTGTTTTCTGTACTCACATAGTATTATTCCAGTATCTGTTTTAGCATTATAAAAATGAAGTTCCAGTCTGTAATAAGCTGAGAGCTGCCCAGGAGCAGTTTGCAGCTGCTCAAGTAGTGTGGGTAAGATGAAATTTACCAGGCAGGCAGCAAAACTCTCTTCCTATGCCTCATTTCTGTTGTCTCTAGATTGAAGTAACAGTGGAGCCACGTTGCCTATGTAGGCAAAATGTGCAAGATATGACTCATGGGCACATTTATTTCATAAAATGTAGGCTTGTTGCAGGTCTTGTGGTCACAGCCACAAAAACTCCTTGTACATGCTTCTTGGTTAGCTCTGTCTTCCTGGAAAATTTCTACTGTCCCAGTGCTCAGATGGAATAATGTTTCTGCTGCAGGACACAGTGTTCTACTGTGTCTGTTTTTCAAATCACCACCTCTTGTTTGAACATGATTTTTCTTTATTCAGTCTGTCAGAATTTCTTTCAAAGTCTGTAGGTGTTATGATTCCCTATCAGAAGGAGAAGTGATCTGTGATGTTTTATTTTGGTTCCACATACCAAAGCATTGCAGTCCTTGGGAAGCAGGCAAAGGAGGGAAAAATTAAACACTGAATGTGTCTGTTTCCTGTTTCCTTTTTTGCTTACCATTGGCATTTTCTGGTAATGAGCCGCTGTTATGGCAGTGTTGGGTTCCTGCAGTTCCAGTTTTGAAGCCTGACACAGTGAAGCTTCCCCTCTGAGTCCTCCTGTGGTTGTTGGTGGGCTCTCTGCTTGAAAGGACATGTCTGCAGGATCTGTTCTTGTTGGGTCTCTGCTCCCTGATCGTTTCCTAAGCAGCACAACCCATGGGAAAGCACAGTGAAAACCCATATAGAAGTCTCCAGATGGGGAAAGGACTTCAGTGCAGAGTGATAAGGTTCCTTTGAGTTGCCATTTTACATATATTCCAGTTCTTCATGTAGGGCTTTTAGACACCTTGAGGCTGAGCCTTGAAAGCTGTCATCTATTACTGCTCCTTGAGTCTTGGTTGTTTGTGAGCTCCAGCTGAGGCTCTATGGAAGGTATCCTGAAAAATTCTTTTGTCAGAAACTTGTTTTATTTAACCTGGGTCTGTATTTGCACCTGAATTTTTTTGGGAATGTATCTAAAACTTGAAAAAACATTTCAAACCTTTGGCCTTTGGGGTGAGAAAAATCTCCTAAAAAGCTCCTAGACTGTGGGTCGAAGTGCTCAGGAACACATAGCTTGGTAATTCAAGCCTGTGAACGTAATATAAGATGTCTAATCAAAAAAATTATGTTTATTTAAGGATTTTTTTGTTAATAATAGGCTTTTGACCACGCTTGTATTTGCGTTATGGGAATCATGAGTCGCATAACTTAGGCTGCTTTCATTTTCAATACTCACTTACATTTGGGGATATGTGTTCAATTCAAAGTCATATGAGGGGTGGCTGCAAGTAAATTTCATTCATGAACCTTCCTAAATGCTACATTTGAGAGGAGCATAGTGGCTTTGTGGCTTATTTGGGGCCTGACTGCTGTGTCTGTGCTTGACAGTTGGAGGATGCCAGAGAGGACTCAGCTCTTGTGAATGGTCTCCCTGCAAAACAGGTGATGTTGGCTGTGACCTGCTGTTTTTCAGATTTAGCTGCTAGCACGAGGCTGTGCACCCATGATAGTTGAGCATGATAACTGTGAGCTGTGAGATTAAACTACCCTTAGCTGCGGAGTTAAAGCTTCTGGTTGAAGAGGGGCTTCACTCTTTTGTTGGAAGTGATCTCTTGTTTTGCACAGAGCTGTCTTCATTGCAGTAAGTGACAGAATAATTTATGGTCACAGACTTGTGTCTGTCAGCTTAGCTGAGTGATGACCAGGTGGAAAAATGTGAATGTGAAGGGTGTGGTTGTATCTCTTACTTGGGGAATTGAAGAGTAGTGGGAAAATTCAGCTTGATTTTAGTATTCCTGTCACTAAAGCTCTTTCTCCCAATCTCTGTCTTCATAGGTGAGGATCGCATTGATGTCCTGTCTGAAATCTGGGATCACTATTTTACAGAAATTCTTCCTACACTTCAGGCAATATTCTACCCAGTCCAGGTAATCTTAATTATAATTTAGTCTTCAGTTAGGTGAGGAAATGTAACTGCAACGTCTGCTAATGGCACACAGGAACTTCTTTTCTGCCCCAGCAGCACTGGCCAGTGGCTAGAGAGATCTCACACCCTTTAAGCTAAATCTAGGAGGAAGTGGAGTTTGTCCACATCAGCATTAAATGGGTAAGGAGGACTGCGAAAGTATGCTGGGCAAGCACACTGTTTTGGGTTGAATTTATTGCCGTTTGTCTACCCTTTGTGCTTAGCTAAGCTTGAACACTGAATCTATTGGACTGTAGCTTGTCCCGACTGAAGGTCTGAGTCATTTGTATTTGAAATATCTAGGACTTTGTTGGTGCAGGTGGTAATACTGACAACTTATCTTCAGAGGGACAAATAGGAAGACTAGATCAGGAACAAATGTGTTTTAACTTGCTCTAACTACTTTTGGAGAGCTAATGTCCCAGTTGTGCCTTTGGAAAAATCCTTTGTTGATTTTTTTTAAGCTTTAATAAGGGGACATGTAAATCTCTGGGTAGACAATGAATTAACTTTATGTAAGAATTGTTTATGCTGGGTATTTTGAAAGCTGAGCATCCCATCAGAAGTGCGGAGTTACATAATTTCTTCATGTAGTTTCATTAAGGGTTTCCATATGAGTAGTTTAATGTCCTCCCCAGACTATTTTGATCTTCTCTTCCATCAGAGGAAAAGAAGAATGTACCTCATGAGGAGACTGACTTTTTTGGAAATGTGAGCCTCCTCCTCTTGACTTTTGCCTCTCCAGAAGACATGCTTTCCAGAGCCTTTTAAAATTATTTTTTCTTGCATTGTTTGAAAGGCAGCAGGTAAAGCTCTAAGGTTGCCCTTTTATTCTAATTCTATTAAAACTGGCATTTCCTAAAAAAGAAAGGATCTCTGTGAAGACAGACACTAACCTTTCCACTGTATTTTTATTCTTTCCTTGCTGCAGATGCTTAAAGGTAGGTGTTTGGCAGGTAAAACTACACAATTATAATATCCTTCCTTTCTGTCCTTTTGCAACTAATTCTCAGTCATGGAATGACCTAATCTATTTAAGCAGAGGGTTTTCTGCACTGCAGCTATCTGTGCACTGTGGAAACAGCTGAGCTAACTGTGTGTCATACCCACTGATGCTAATAATTCTGCCACTTCCCAGAAAAATCTCCTCCCCTACTGTTAACTATCTCAAATGAGAAACTGAACCAAAGTTACTGTACAGTGGGTTCAGCTTTTGGAAGTAGTGGTAAAGGCATGAGTATGGGATGTTGAGATCCTTTGAAAGCATAATGTTCTTACTGCATTTTTTTGGTCACAATATCGGAGTCACTCAAAATATTTCATAGGAGGTATGAAATTAGGGAAGTATTGCCATTTTACAGATGAGGAATCAAAAGGTAACAGACAGCATATTTAAAGCTTTGTAGGCTTTAAAAATCTATGGGCAACATAAGGGTGTGGATTTAAATTGCCTAAATATGTCCAAGAATTTGACTGTGAGTAAACTGCCTTAGGCTACAACAGAGATGCTAGTGTAGCAAGAAATGAGAAATGGCTCTTGTTCTAAGCCAGTGCCCTAATAGCAAGATTAGGCTCTTCCTACAAATACGGAACTGTGTATAACTGTTTATATTGTGTGTCACCACATATGAAGGGAGTTCATCTAACAAATTTCTTTTACCAAGTCACAGTTCTTCTTGAGCTACTCTGGTAGATGGGAAGGTCAATTTGTTGCACGTTCCACATCCTTTGCTTCAAATGTCAACATGATTATTTAGTTGTGCACTTCCGTGATCCCAGCAATTGCCCATTCAGACTGAACGTTAGTCATATGTGCGTGTATGTTACCAAAAGCAGTAACTAGAAGCAACTTCCTCTCTCAGCTAATTTAAACCTAAAGCTCATAGCTATTGCAGAAATATGACCTTTAAGCAGCCAAGTTGGTTAAATTGCTGTACAGAGGGAAACTATGTAAACAGGTCTCTGACTTTTCTATAATTGCGGCTGTTGCTGTAACAACTTGGTTTGGAAAAAGAATAGCAAATCTTGTTTTGTTTGGCACAGCAAGATGTTTGCATTTTGAAATGGGGTATGAAGTTAATGGGACTAAACTACATGCTATAATTAAAAACTGTGCAGCTGATGAAATACAGTTCAGAGATATGTACCACTTTTTTCTACACCTCTGTGTTTCTAAACATGCAGTGATGGTTTAAAACAGCAAAGTGTTTTTATTATGGCCAAACTGCCCTCCAGACTATTTGCTTTCATTTGTATTTACATATTGATGATGTGGTTAATTATGGCATTAAAACCATTATGAATTAATTATTAACTGCGTTAATTCCCTCCAGCTAAATATTTTCCATGTTGAGTGTGTTATGAAGACCATAAAGAGGTTTCCAAACAGACCATGGGGCAGAGATTAACATGCTAGGAAGAGCAAAGGAAGCTCGTCAGACTGGAAAATGCTGGGAAGGGCTGGAAAGAAAATTTCTGCTGCTAAGGTGCAGTGGGGCAAGAGAAAGTTGCGCAAATGTTAAGTATAGCAGAGGGAAAG